AAAAACCTTCGAAAAAAGCAAAAACACACTTTTCTGGTAAGAGCTGAAACCGCCAGTACATTTCCCAGTTATTCTTTTCAAAAGCAACAGTTAACACATCACATGGAGAGGGGCTCAAGCAAAAAGAAAATGTTTTTAGCCCGGATCGGTTCGTTTCTTTTTGGCACCCAACAGCAATCCACGTCAGGAAAAAGAGGCTCCGAAGGTGGCAACAAATAGTGTCTTCTTTTTGGCATCCAGCAGCAATCTACACTGGGAAAGGGTGGCAAGGGATATAGTAGGTTTTGATGGCCATTATTGGCAAGATACCAGTAAGACAAGGCTCTCCTATCTGCTAAGGGCACATAGCAAAAAAACTGGCTATGGAAGATAATTCCCCTAGTAACTAGCTTTCCCACCCGGGCCAACCGAGGTCGCCCGGAATGGTGCTCGGGGCGCTCGGCCGCCCAACCCCCCTGGCCAGGCACCCGGGCCTCCTCAGCGCCGTACCCAAAACGGCCGTTAATTTTTTTTTTCGCGCCGCCAACCGACGACCCACAGGCCAATTTTTTTTCCCGCTGACAGTGCACTATATTTCCGGGCCCAGTAGGCCCCTTTTGAGAATTTTTTTTTTTTTTTTTTGATCTAGGCCATCGATCATTGGTGATCGGTCCCAGGATTCCGGTCTGCCTCACCCCGTGCACCACGCCCTCCGCTCTCCGCCCTCCGCCCTCCACCCTACGGCCCTCCGCCACGTGCCAGTCGTTGTTGCTGTCGTTGTCGCCCTCCCGCCGCACCGTCGTCGTCATCGTGCTGCCGCCATTGTCGTCGACCCGCGGCCGCCCCGTCGTCGTCATCCTGCCTTCCTCGAAGACTGTCGCACGCCATCCCCATGAAGGCTCGAACTTCGAGGTAAGTTTTCATTTTCTTTTTCTCTTCTTCTTCTTCTTCTTCTTCTTCTTCTTCTTCTCTTCTCCTTCTTCTTCTTCTTCTTCTTCTTCTTCTTCTTGTTTTTCGTTTCTTCTTCTTTCTCGTTTCTTGTTCTTCTTTTTTGTTTCTTCTTGTACTTCTTCTTCTTCTTCGTTTCTTCTTCTTTTTCATTTCTTCTTCTTCTTCTTCATTCCTTCTTCTTCTTCTTCATTCCTTCTTCTTCGCTTCTTCTTCGTTTCTTCTTCTTCATTCCTTCTTCTTTGCTTCGTCTTCGTCTTCTTCTTCTTCTTCTTCTTCTTCTTCTTCTTCTGCGGCACCCAGCACGTCCCTCTTTCCTCGAGGGGTGGCCATCGCCTCCCTCCTCTTCCCCTCTCCATAACGCCCGCCCTCCCTCTTCCGCCATAGGCCCCGACCACCCCTACGTGAATGGCCGCTATAGCCCCCTCCTCCCTCCTTTCTCATAGCGCCCCTCCTTCCTCGCTCTCCATCGCCTTCCTCCACCCCTCTCCATCGCCTCCCTCCTTTCTCCCGCCCTCTGCATCGCCTGCCTCCTCTCCTCTCCATTGCCTCCCTCCTCCTCCGCTCTTCAGCACCCTCCGACTCCCTCCTCCGCCATAGGCTCCCTCTCTCCTCCTCCGCCATGGCCTTCCTCCTCCCTCCTCCCTCCTGCCATACTCCTCCCTTCTCCCTCCTGCCAGATCGTCTCCCTCCCTCGCTGTCCACCATAGCTTCTCTTGTCCCTCCTCCGACGTGGCACTCTTCCCTCCTCCTCCTTCCTGCCATACTCCTCCC